TAGTTATTCTCGTTTTAGGTCGATTTTTTTCTCTTCCTAATAAAACCCAATCTTGTTTTTTGCAGCGCACATTCTCGGCAGCCATGTTTTATTTTGTTTGACGTGAAATTTGTCTTTATGAATCAGTATCGTATTATATTTTTCTTAATTTTGTAATTTACTTAATGGGAGATAAAGGGAATTACAAAATTAAGAAAAATAGAAACTCGAAAAACAGGGGTGAATACTCACATCTGGAGGGGTCTTATTGTTTTCTGCCATTCGCTGTAGAGACGATGGGCCCGTGGGGCCCAGATGCAAAGAATTTTTATCGGAAGATCGCAGCGCGCCTCATCGAAGTTACTGGTAATCCAAGAGATGAAAGCTACTTTGCCCAAAAGAAAAGTTTGGCAATCCAAAGAGGTAATGCCGCCAGTATCTTGGGTACGCTGCCTCGGTGTGGTGCGTTGGGGGATTACTTATAATTAGTATTAGTATTTAAGGAATTGTATATTAACTTTAATTTTTTGATGTATTGTATATGATATTAAATTAAATTACTTTACAAATTAAATAATGAATTCATAAATCCATATATTGCTGTTAATTAGTCATAATCATTGTTGTAAATAATAAAAAAAATATGAGATTACATTGTTAAATAAATAAAGTTTTTGTTTTTTATTACAGTGAATTTTAGTGGATTAGGTATAGCGTGATCTTGAATTATAGAGAGCATCGAGCCTCAAAAACGGATCAACTTTTTGTCAGCTAATTGTCAAATTAGCTGACTCGTTTTGTTTACCGGTATTCTATATACTCACGTATAAAATATATATTGACGTATTATTTGATAAATGAAATAAGTAAGTATTTAAGCATTAAAATGATGCAGAAATCGTAAGATTAAATAATTGTAGAAGTTATAAAGGAATCATTCATAACTATTTATCACCCAGAATTGTATGAAAAAGTTGACCCGTTTTTTTTGAAGCATTTTGTATGGATACACTCTATCTATATAATGTAAGAGCATGACGAAATAAATTAGACTAGCTGTAATCCGCGGCTCTGTCCTATTTGCGATAAAACTTATAGAATTTACATAACTAATGTAAATTCTGTACTGCAATTAAGTAAAAAGGCAATCAAAATATTAACTTACTGAAGTGAGTTGTTTGTAACTTACTGAAGGACAAATTGCCGATTTTCAATTATTTACTTTATTTAGCAAGAAAGCATGCAACGATGTCTTGGCGTCCTTTGAATTTGATTTACGCATGAACATTTGTTACTCAATCGCAGTTAAACCGAGAAATGGATATGAATTGAAATTTGTAGAATTATGTCGGCATTAACATCTATTGGAGTGTGCCTACATGTAATATTGCACAATGATTATTCATAATTTCAAAGCGAACTTTGCACCGTTTCCTAATTTGTAAGTGACCTAAATTAATCAACGTAACTACAATGTTTTATCTCATACTCACTCGCGATACAACCTCTGTGCTAGGCAATCGATTCAATATTTCAAGTTTACATTTTATATCTTGAATTATTCTCATTACTTACCACCTACACAACTGCATCGAGTCTTAACAACTTCAGCCAAAGGGGCATTCAATGACTATACGTAAGCGTATATCAAATGTTTTTCCAGGAGAGGACTAGTTCTTTTTTTTTTTATACAACTTAGAATGGCAAACAAGCTAACGGCCCACCTGATGGAAAGTGGTAACCGTCGCCTATAGACATGTGCAGTACCATGGACATGACAGAGTATACTATTTCGCCCATGATACCCCCCATGCGTTGCAATTCCTGAGGACTCAGGTGTTATTCCTCTGTACCCAATAAATTCACGCCATATCCCACCCTTCAAACCGAAACACAGCCATACAAACACAACTGCTTCACGGTTGAAACACGAATGCGACAGAGGTACCCAAGCAATCGACTTTTGTACAAAGTCTCCCTCTGGTCTTCCTTAAAGAGTTTCATGGACTCATATATGTTCCGATATGTCATAAATTTAAATTCAGATTTAAGTTATCTTCATACAAATCGACTTGTTTACAAACACTTTTAAATCGTCATATTTTATAAATTACTGCAGGATTTAGAAAAGTTGTTATCTGTTGAGAAGAACTCTTAAGAAACTTAACAGTTGCTCTTTAAAATATCTGTTAACATTATGTGTATTTATTTAAATGTACTATGTCTAATATTACATGGTCGGGGGAAAGGGATTGTTAGTAATGGAGACTGAGAATCCCATTGCTAGCAATATACCCAACCAGGTCGACCTCCTCGCGGTTCTCCCTGGAAACTATCATGGTTAATTCCTGATGAATATATCATGACGGGCTAACTGGCCTGTTTTCATTCTCATCTATCATTCTTCACTGGTGCCCCGCCAGCGTATCCCGTTAGCGCAGGCTGGGTTATCATACCATTTTCACTCATCAAAAAAAAAAATATTACATGGTCATTAAAAAACTAGAGTATGATCGACTAACACCATGGACATTTGTCATTCAAGTAATCGTTCAGTGTGTAATGGGCTTTGTTCAATAAGTGTTTTTTAACAGTTGTAAAATTATTAAAGGTAAATCTAAAATATCCTTCGGTATCTTATTCTAATATTTTATTTAATATAATATTCTTATATAATATTTGATGCCCATTCCCATAAAAGACCTATTAATTTTAACAGAAACAGCAAGTTTCAATCTAGTGTTAAGATTATTGACATCGCTGTGTGAGATACTAGGTCATTCTGGGGTCAGTTTTTAGAGCTAGGCTTATTTACCTTCAACTTGTTGAATTTCTGCAGGGCGACTATGTATTTGTGTTTATTTCTTGTTATTTGCATAGTAATATAAATATATGTCTTCATAGGATTACATTTTTATATGCATTTAAACAAAATTTTTGTCGTGCCTCCGACCAAACTGTTTATAATTACTTTTCTCCATCCAAAGGTAAGGGGTCACTTTTAGCGATAAGGTCGCCCATTGTTTTCTCACTGTGATCATTTCTTGTAATTGTTTGTATCTATAATAAATTTTGGAGGAAACAATAAAGAGTGTTTATAGGATATTAGAAAACTGTAAAGCTTGTCTTGTATATAAATGAATCATGCAGAAAATGTTGTGAGTAACAGCTACCGAGAATATACCATAATACAGCTAAAATGTCCAATATTTTCGTGTAAGTAATTAAATACTTTGTACTACTCCCTCCTACTTTAATCCAGCGACATTTGGATAGCAATAACATCAATCAAGATTGTTTTTCCGAGCATGTTTTCAAGGGTTCCGCCTGAAAAAAATATTTCCCTAGTACGCCAATAATAAATTACTTTTGGCGTGGTTTGGGGAAGTTGCCCCAGAAACCTATTTATTTGTTGCAACTGACAACTTATTTTTCATTTTCCTCATACAAAAAACTCGTGATTTTTGCGCTTTGCGTGTGAATTGACTGTCCTCTGTTCTGTTAGTTGGTTGGATGAACAAATATAAACAAACAATGTATTTCTATTATAAACAACTAAGTTTCTATAACGAGTATTAATTAGCTTTTGTTTGCGACTGCCTGGATTTTATAAGTCGAGATGAATTAGATTACTTGTAAATAGCGTATCAAAATAAAAAGAAATCAAATGTTGTTTAATTAAAAAAAAAATATTGTGAAAATGCGGATTTAATTTAGTGCAGTCGTGTTTGTGTGATATCGAAACAAACATACCTACAGATAAAATTTCTAAAAATGATTGTTTTGGCTTCTATTGGTCTTATTAAAAACATATTAATTTATCTTAAATATCTCCCATTGCAGGGTGTCAGTGGATGTAGGAGGCTCAGGACCGTTCTTTATGGCAGTCTATGGAGAGGTTTATGTCCAACAGTGGACGGGTAATTGCTGAAATGATGATGATGATGATCTCCCATGTACAAATATCATTTAATTATAATTTTATTATATTAGTAAAATGAATACTAACAACTTACTGAATATTCTAGTCATATTATTTTATTGTATATATATATATATATATATATATATATATATATATATATATATATATATATATATATATATATATATATATATATATATATATATATATAGTATATGTTTCATGCAACTTGGCCCACCTGATGGAAAGTAATAAGTCGCCTATAGACACGAAATGCACCATGGACATAACAGAGTGTACTGTTTTGCCTACGATACCCCTAATGCGTTGCCATTCCTTAGGATTAGGGTGTTATGTCTCTACATATACTGTAGTCCTCAAGAATGGCACTCATAATGGGTACAATGGGCGCTTCAATTTATTTTCTGATATCCATGGTGATTTTCATGCCCTCCACATTCCGTTAGGCGGATTGTCAATTTTTCTTGACATTCTTTTGTTTGATATCATAAAAAAAAGTATAATATACCAACTTTTTACAAGCTTTTATTTAACTTGGGCAAGTAGGCAAGTTATTTGTTCAAAATTTGCAATCTATTTTTTAACCACTTGCTGGCATCCAATTGAGTTGAAATTTGGCATACTTATGTTAAGTTCGATGGCAATACAATATTATAGTACATCATCGAGCTAGTCTGATAAGAAAGATCGTTTTTGATGTAACTAAATACGTCGTATCGTTTGTTTTCGTTTGTTTTATAATAATAATAATAATAATTTTTATTTCAGACTTTTTGGTCCATTAAATGTTTTGTGTTAGTTGAAATTTGGCATACACATACACACACATACACACATGTATATTAAGTTACAGATAATCACCGGCACAATTCCACGCAATATTATCCAGTATCATCATCGAATTGCGCACCAGGAATCTGATGAGATAAAAACATCTACACGAAGGAACATCCCTGACACGCCGCAGAATCGTAGCAGCCCCATCAACACCCTGAATGAGCGTTATTATATTGGATAAATTTTTGACGTCGTATTCATAGAAAGATGTGCAATGTGATTGTTTTTAACTTATCTAGTCTTGAGAAAAACTAAAACCTTGTGAGGTACCCAAAGTCGGATGATGAAGTCTAATGGTTATAAAAGCTTGTAGTTTTTAATAGATTTGTTTATATGTGCCCAAGTTTGATACAAGAGTTTTATTGATTATGTAGGTACCTATAACTAATTATAGATAGCCCCATTCTATAAAATCTTCAACGATACCCATACACCTCTCTTTGATATTTTTATTCACATTAAACTGTATCTCAGACGGAGACTCTTTGGAAAAAACGGGCGCGTCCTCTTCAGAGGCAAAAACAAAGGGCAGCACCCAAACAGCTATTAAGAGACCCGATTCTATCCTGTTTCTATAGAGCTTTTCGTAATCCTTCCTTGGATACAGATTCTCCACATCCATGTTGAAGTATTTGAGGAAGGTTCCCAACGTGTCGTGGTACAAATTCTTGATATACTCCAAATGGTTCTTCCTGAATTGCTGGTCAGTTCCCGTGAAGATGAAGAACATCAAATCGTTGAGCGGATTGCCATAGTGCATGAACTGGTAGTCGATGGCAATGAAATTAGTTATTTCACCATTCTGGAAAAAATAAACAATCAGAATTTAAGATTTTGTTTCACAAATAAGCAAATATAATAAAAATAGGATCTTCAAATAGGACAAAATTGTAGTATTGAGTAGTAATCTCAGTCACGAAACATTTAGATGAACATTTTGTAGATACAAAGATATCGCGTAACATACACAATAATTTATTATCGAATTTACGAGAAAAAACTCTTTTCTTTAAGTCCCTTAAATTTTTTAGATGATAATTTGTATATTCTAATAGTTTAGAAGTATTAAAACAATAAAATATACTTGTTTTTCGTCCAAAATCATTAATTGTTGAATAAAAGTTTTTGTCAATGTTAATTTACAGTTAACTTTTCAATTCCAGAAAGGATGTTTAACAATTGAATTGAATCCATAATTATGCCCAGCAAAATACAAATCTAATAATCAACGTTAATGTAAAACTTACATTAATAAATACTTACATTTATTTTCACCATAAGATTAGTAGTTCTGTAGTCTCCATGACATAGAATACCCGTAGTTGTATCTAAATAGTATTCTGGAGTTTTTTTAATTATCCTCGGTATTACATCTACCAACTTCTTTTTAATATTCTCATCGTGCAAACTGTTAATTGTTACATAGCTAGTATTTCTAACAAGCTTCTGCCAGTTTTCATCGTCATAATCCATTACTACTCTGAGAGGTTTAATTTTCTCATTAAAGTATTCCGGCATTCTCTTTTTCAATACAAAAGATAATGCATGAAATTTTGCAAGTTGCTTCACAGCTGTCTCTGCATAATGCAAAGTGACTGGTTCCAATCTATTAACAGTTGTGAAGCCTTTTTTCTGTAAGTTGTCTAAAATAATAAAATCTGATGTACTCTCCTCATAGCATTTTACTGTTTCATATCTTTCTTCTAAAGGTATCTGGGCTTCCTCTTGTAGTTTAGTATATATTTTAAGAAATTCATTATGCGCCAGTAATTCTCTATTGTGGATATTCGACACCGACAAATATGTTATGAGATCGCCTTTTATTACATTTTTTATAAATAGATTTATTTCTTTATTTACATCTGCAACTTTTCCTTTTATATCAGCTTTAGTCAGTGTTGCCAGAAAGTTGCCACCATCCAGTGCTACATTATTAATGTTCAGTTCATATGTGGAATAGTTTTCTCTCTTTATAATATTATTTATAGCTTCTTTTAAGGACACAGAGACACTTTGTTCACCCATTTTTATTTTTGCATCTTTTTCAATATTACCATCACAATGCTTCTTGATGTCACAATCCCTTATAATTTTATTCAAACTACCAGTTTGTAATATTTCTTAGGTGTATTTATACTTTAGATAGTGAGTCGTGTCAAACAGTACTACAAAATGATTATATTATTTCAAGTCACTATATGTATTTTTTATCATATTTACTTTATTTTAATGAAGATCTCTAGGATTTTAATGATATAATATTTTCTTGTTTATTATCAAATAATTGTATTTTCTATCCGACGTTGATATTTATATCATTACTGGCACAATACTCCCTACTAATTTATATTGATAAGGTGAACACACATAATATTGTATTGTTTACATCAAAAGTGTGATCTTATCTTCGGTCTGTACGAGTATAATGAACCCATAATATATATGAATAAACACTTAATATATAAGTATATAATATATTATTAATTTAATTTGATGTCCTCAATATCGTTATTCTTAATTTCACGACCGTCAAGTTATTGTTATTTACTTTGCTTACTACTTCGTATACGTGGATGTTAGCAGTCAGGAAAACTAATGAAATACTATGTATTTCTAGATTATTTTTTAATACCTACCTAGAAATACAACTATTCTTAAATGTAGATGTAACCACAGCATGCTTTGATTTTGTGAAATATTGATATATAGAATTTGTTTGCCCTTGAAGCTGAGAAGAACTTGATGAAAGGAAATGCGTTTTTTTGTACCTCAATTTTCATAATAAATAAATACGAAGGTGCCTGTAGTGTTAAGACTATCCGTTTACAAGATTTGAATATTTAACGTTCTAACGGTTGGACGGTCGACGTCTATGGTCTTCTAATTTTGCAAGTGTGAAAAATATAGTTTTTTTTTTTTGTTATAATTTCTATGATGCCTGATCTTGAACAAATTAAATTAGTTCATGAGATTAAATGAATAAAGGATATAAATAAAATAAATTAATAATTTATAATTAAATTATTAAAATTGATTTTAATAAATTTTTTTTAATGGATGATAATGGTATTGTACCCCGTTTGCTCTATCGGTATACACTGGCGGGGCACCAGTGATAGATAACTGATGAGGATGAAAGCAGGTCAGTTAGCCCATCCTGATGAAATTAACTAGAATTAGCTACGATGGTTTCCAGGAGGAACCGTCAAGGTATTGAAGTATTGAGGCTATTTGACTTCATTACTAACAATCCCTTTCCCCCGGCATATGGTTGGTTACTTTTATCAATAAACAATATATTACTTCCATACACCATAATGCTATAACTGAAGCTCCCAAACGATTAATAATACAATCTCGAGTGTAAGAGAAATCTTGAGTGCACGTAATTAATAAGATTAGTTCTAATTCTTGGAATGTTTTGACATTAACGTGGAAGAAGTGTTTCGGGGAAATTGTTTGAAAATGTTTCGAGGATGAAACTTTCTATGGCATTTCCTGTTGTTACCTATTTCACTTCAGTTTTATTTATACTATACTTATATATATTTTTTATTTATACTATACTATTTTATTTACCTATATCCCGCGGCTTCGCTTGCGTGAATTAGTACCTAAAGTATCCTATGTGCTAAGTTAGGATATAACCTACCCGTGTACCATATTTCATTCTAATCCGTTCAGTGGTTTTTGCGTGAAAGAGTAACAAACATTCGTCCATCTATTGTTAGAAATTTTTGCATTTACGAGTATTATATTAATAGCACAAATGACAACTTAATTGTACTTAATAAAAGAAGTTTATTAAAAGTATAAATGAGAAATTTCAAAAGAGGACGAGAGACTTTAAAAGAGGATGAGAGATTTCAAAAGAGGATGAGTGACTTTATTAATGACTTTATAGAATGGGGATACTTTTAATTTATTGTATCAAAGACGCTATACAAACTCTAATACATATGATTTTTTTTGTGTGGCATTTATTTCTCATTAATAACGGAAATACTCGTATTTCTTCCAAATGTAATTAATAAGTGTCATCATCTGTTATTATTGGAAAGTTGTTTATTACACGAAAACTTAGGAAAATAGAAATACACTTGTTGTTATAAAGTTGTTATTCCACTTCACTATTGTTTGTATTATAACAAGTTAGATCTATTATAAAAAATAAAAAGTAACCTGCTAAAGATATTTAAAACGGCTCAGAAATATCTGGAGTCGGGTTAAGTGGCTTTATTATAATTTTGTATGTTAGCACACTAGGTTTATAACATTTTTTTGGTTTTTTCTGTCATAATGTTATAATTATTTTAATTAATAAAGAAATAAAATTTAAATTTAGAATTTAAAATAATCTTAAACTTTTACTACAATGACAGTACGCAATATAAAGGTGCAATTTTTAAGTCATTAACTATCCACTGTTGAACATAGGTTACTCCCATAGGGGAGTTCAACTAGTAGTTGTTACGCTTGGCAGGCGAGTCGGCAAGTCCAAGAATTTAAAAACATCATCAACCAATGAAGCTGTGAAGAGTTTTGGGAATATGGCGTCATCCATCAAATATTCGTTAGTTTCTCACTACGCTGTCTGCAATTTGGATGAAGTGTTTATTATAACAGTATTATTATTAGTTTTAATTATATATTAATAATTATAAAAATATTTCTCAGTTTTAATTTTGGATTCTATCGGACCTTCAGAACCAACCATAAGAGTAATAAACATCCAAATATTTTTTCATTTTGTAAATTCTTACATTAACAGTACGGTTTCAGAGAAATTTTCACACACGAACACTCAGGTTGTGTAATAGGCTCCCTGCCGAGGTTTTCCCGACAGGCTACAATATGGGGTTCTTCAAAAAGGGTAAATTAAGATTTCTTCAGGGTCGGCAAAGTGCACGTGACACCTCTAGTGTTACAGGCGTCCATAGGCTACAGTAACCGTTTACCATCTTACGGGCTGTGTGATTGTTTCTCATCGTTTGTGGATTAAAAAAAATTATAGTGAGGATTTTATCTTATCTTATATTCGCATATGGGGTCAACTAAGCCGTTGCACGTCGACCCATCGGGATCTTTTGTGCTTCCCCCTGCCTTATACCATCATTTCATAGGTCCTTTGTGTTACCCTAACGATATCCCGCGGTTTAAGATATCTGTAGTCCCCTGGATAAGCCGTTCCTAGTAGACTCATGCGCATGCTCGCTAACGAATCACAGTTGCACATCAAGTGTTCCATGGATTCCGATTTCTCCCCGCACAGTCTGCACAGTGTGTCCGAAGATAGACCCATCTTGTGTAGTATATGCCTTATTGGCATATGTCCAGTTAAGGCAACCATAATGAATCTTGCCTGTACCTGCACCCATAGTGAGGATAATAACAATATAAGTCAATAAAATTTAAAACTTATGAATGATGAATTAAAGATTACATTTGCTTGAATACAGATAGAAGTATTTAATGTCTCTATATGTAACCGTATGGCTTGCAAATATTTAATTTGGAACTTGTTATTAAAATTTTACATTAAAATAAAGTCTTAAGAGAATAAAAACATTTCTCAGGAAACCAATTGTAAAGTTTCTCATATTTTTTTTGGTCTATCAAATCTGTGTATTCTTTCGGTAATATATTATATGTATATTTTCAGGCAGGTAATTCTGTCTTATATACTGTTGTAACTACGTCGTATCTATTGTACAATATTGCACAATGTTATTCAATAGAGTAACAACCTTGTATATGACTTTATCTGACAACGATAACGGTCTAAATTTATTATTATTTTTTATACAACTTAGAATGGCAAACAAGCTGACGGCCCGCTTGATGGAAAGTGGTAACTGTCGCTTTTAGACATGAGCAGTACCATGGACATAACAGAGTATACTATTTCGCCCATGATATCCCCCATGCGTTGCCATTCCTGAGGACTCAGGTGTTATCCTCTGTACCCTGTAAATTTACGCCATATCCCACCCTTCAAACTGAAACACAGCCATGTAAACACAACTGCTTTACGGTTGAAACACGAATGGGATAGAGGTGCCCAAGCAAACGACTTTTGTATAAAGTCTCCCCCCTCTAGTAAAACTTATTGAACTAAGGTTTTATCTTACGAAAGTCCATATCACTGGTTATTTGATTAGAATTGTTTTGTTTAATTCTACTACCATTAGTATGTGTGTGACTGCCAACACTCGAAGATTGACCACTACTATTGCTATCAGAAGTTTAACAACCTTCCATATTAGCTATTAATCTTCGACTGCCATTTTGTTCACGCACGTTCTTTCGCACGCACGCATGCACGCACGCACGCACGCACACACACACACACACACACACACACACACCCATACAAACACCTATGCACATCCATACTCATATTAAATACCAACATAACCTTCAAGAAAAGAGCATATTCCTTTTTAAAAGGCCGGCAGTACACCTGCAATGCCTTTAGTGTTGTGGGTGATCATGGGCGGCGGTAGTCATTTATCACCAGGTGAGCTGCATGCTCGTTTGCTCCCTGTGTTGTAAAAAAAAAAACATGTTGAACATAGGCTTTCTCTTGGGAGGTTTGCCAGTAGTTGCCATACTTGGCTACAAATTAGTAACCGTAAGTAGGTTTTAGAAGAGGGACGCTGCTGCTCATCCTTCGCCATTCTTAATTGCCTCTTACCACATCCATGAGAAAGGAAGGGGTGGCCTATTCTATGCTACCACAAAGTCTATATAAATATATATATATATATATATATATATATATATATATATATATATATATAATATATATATATATATATATATATATTTACATAACATAATATGTGAAAATGAAATATGTGTACTACACAGATACAAAAAGGCAATATCTCAGTGAGTTGTTTGCTTAATAAACAAACAATTGATTTTCAATTACTGTGTTAAAAGATGCGTAGCGACACCGTTGCGTCTGACATATTAGGTATTTATAAAATTGAAGATAAAAATACATATTATTCAATAACAGACGAGTATATGATACATTCTACTATCTCCAGTTAGTAATGGATTATAATGGAATGGTAACCCCGCCTGCGCTAACGGTATACGCTGGCGGGGCACCAGTGAGGGATAATAGGTGAGAATGAAAAAGCAGGTTAGTTAGCCCATCGTGATGAATACACGTGGAATTCAGCACGATGGCTTCCAGAGGGAACGTGGTTGATCTAATAGGGTATATTGCTAGCAATGGGACTGGTAGCCCGCATTACTAACAATCCCTTCCCCCCTATCTACAGTTAGTATCTGCTAATATTCGTATTAGGAATCACGTGTAATCAAATAATTCAATGGCAATACTATTCTCATTTGGATATTTGTTAATTAATTTTTTTATACAACTTAGAATGGCAAACAAGCTGACGGCACACCTGATGGAAAGTTGTAACCGTCACCTATAGACATGAGCAGTACCATGAACATAACAGAGTATACTGTTTCGCCCATGATACCACCCATGCGTTGCCATTCCTGAGGACTCAGGTGTTATTCCTCCGTACCCAGTAAATTCACTTAATTCTAAATATTTATTAATAATTATTAACAATCAAAACACAATTAAGATTAATGTATTCAAATTGGAGGGTTGTTTCGAATCGAAAGAATCGAAAATTTTGTTTGAAAATAGATACTAGATGGCATTGTTGACAATGTATAATTCGTTGTTGTTTCCCTGTGTTTTGATGACCTGCCCTTAGAGAATTTATTAAACGATCCTGTCATTCCTACCTACTGTATTGTGGTTGTTTCATTCGACACTATCGGTAGCAGATTTTCGACTCACAGTACCTAGTTGTTCAGAGTAGTTCTCAATTGTATCGTGATATTTTTACCGATTTTATATCGATTTTGATTATCGTTTTTGGAATCGAATGGAAGGTTTACTTCTTGTTGTTTTTCAAGCGACTTTCAAAATAAAAAAGTCTTCTAAAAACTCCACCACATCATCATCAGGCTTTTGGGAATTCCTTTACAGTTATATCCATTTGACTATGGAATGTCTGCCATATAAAGGAATATGTATATTACTTATATATGTGTATATATATATGTGTATATATATGTGTATATGTATATGTATATATGTGTAAGTATATGTGTATGTTTACAGGGTTTATGTGTTTTATGTAATTTATAATGTGTAGTTTGTATTATTCTTTGTGTATACATATCTTATGTGTTTATACAATATATGCAAAATGTATGAGTGCCTATTTTTATTTTTAAAATAACACAATTTACATGAAAAGGTTTTTCTGGAAGAAATCTCTTATTAGAGATAAGCTCGCCTTTGTACATTATGTTTAAAATGAATTGTGATTAACATTATATTTTGTGTACAATAAAGAATAAAGGTTCTCAGTTCGATTGTATTTTTTTTTTATGTTTGTTACCTCATAACTCAGTCAGTTTACAACTGATAGATTTTTTTTTAATAGGTGATAATGAAATGGTAACCCCGCCTGCGCTATCGGTATATGCAACAACATAAGAATTGACTGGTAGATTAGGTCTAACTGTTCTCTCATTTAGAGGCAACCATAGCATGCTTTTTTTTTTTATACAACTTAGAATAGAAACAAGCTGACGGCCCACCTGATGGAAAGTGGTAACCGTCGCCCATAGACATGAGCAGTACCATGGACATAACAGAGTATACTGTTTCGTCCATGATACTCCCCATGCGTTGCCATTCCTGAGGACTCAGATGTTATTCCTCTGTACCCAGTAAATTCACGCCATATCCCACCCTTCAAACCGAAACTCAGCCATGCAAACACAACTGCTTCACGGTTGAAACACGAATAGAGGTACCCAAGCAATCGACTTTTGTACAAAGTCTCCCTCTGGTAAAATGCTTTGTGTTTGAGAAACATTAAAATGGAATTAAATTATTAAATGTCATTAAATGAATAAAGATAGTAACAATATAAATAAATAAAAAAATGTTATAAATCTAGTACGATGGAAGTCCAAAGATTTTCTATTTCATAAGTAGTACACGAGCCGACTGATATGGGTAACAAATGAAAGCTCTTGACAAATACAACTATTCGATGTCGCTCTTAATCCACTATGATGAATAGTATAGCGAATTTTCTTTCTCTTTAACCAACCGACAAAGAAAGGAGGGTAATGTTTGAATGCGTATGTACTTATAGGTACTTTTTTTATGAAAATTTATTTATGGGTGACAATGGAATGGTAACCATCCACCCGCGCTATCGGTATACACCGGCGGGGTACCAATGAGAGATGATACGTGAGGATGAAGCAGGTCAGTTGGGCTATAGTGACGAATTCCACAAGAATTAACCACGATAGTTTCCAGGGGGCACTGCGTGGAGGTCGACCTGATAGGGTGTATTGCTAACTTGTATTGTATTGTAATTTCATCCCTCTAGTTGTAAACCGATTTGGAAAATTTCTTATCTTTTTCCCTAAATTGACAAACTTTTTTTTATTTAGTTCAATAGAAATTTTATTAAAATCCGTTTCATTAAATTAGTTTTTAAATCCAAATAGGTTTTATTACGATTAAAGCTGATGTTTTTTGTTAAAGTTATAATAAAACAAACTAAGTGGCCGTCCTCACTTAGCAACTTCCTTCTATGTATTTATCTGTCATATCATATCTGATATTGATTGATATAAAAAAATATATATTTATTGTTATTGTTTGTGAAAAACAGTAGTGTTATTACTGTACGTGAACATGACAGCACGTAAATCTGTAAGTAATCTATCTTAAATTATACAGATAGTGTGTCTCCATACAAATGCTTCAAAAAAACCGGGTCAACTTTTTCATACAATTTTGCCTGATTTTGAGTGATTCCTTTATAACTTCTATATTTATTTTGTCTCATAATTTTTGCATTTTTTAAATGCGTAAATACTCATTTTATTTATTAAATAATTAAATATAGATACGTCAAGATACATTGTATGCGTAAGTATATAGCACACTGATGAAAAAACGAGTCAGCTAATTTCGCAATTAGCTGACAAAAAGTTGACCCGTTTTTGAGGCTCGATGCTCTATCTATTTAATGTAAGTCCGCTATATATTTAGATTTTGTCCATAAAATATTGTCACGTTATTCGTAAATAAAGTAATGTGGGTTCAACATGGGAGTAAACCCTATCAATTGCAAATAGAATTTATCAATATTGGTCCACAGTTTGCGAAGATATACTCACGGTATAGAGACACGATGGTAGGTAAGTTCCTTTGTTTATTTTCAATCAACGTCGTTTATGTTTTTATGTCATGTAATTTTTTTTAATGCAAATTTGAACCCTTGATGACCCTTCAGAGAGAAAGTAGTAACCGTCGCTTATAGACATGAATAGTACTCGATTAATATTATGCAATAATATATTGCTTGTTAGCAGTTAGGCTTTTAGTGATGAATTGTTACAAATAAAATTAAAAATTAAAATTTATACGACTTGTAAATTTGTATCAAGTTTCATATTATATACATATAATTATTTATTTATTTCAACATCCGTTATTTTTACAGAAAATCTGTATAACAGAAATATCAAAGAGACCAGTATGTCCAAAAATTGTTCGGTCTGTGAGAAATATCATAGAAAGAGAAGGCTATATAGATTGCAATGCGGAGATAAGAGAAATGAAACCGCACGAAGGAATACTTATCAGTTTATTTTTCGAAGTCGAAATATCCGGAAGTACAGTTCAAGGCAGTAAGAAACTTAACATCTTCGTTAAAAGACTTTTACCAGATCAGAATATGTCACTGTTCGATTTACCAGAAGCTGTAAGGAAAGAAGCATTTGTTTACGAAGAACTGTTTAAATTTCTAGCTGAAGCACAAGATAAAGCAGATGTGCCTAAAGAAGATAGGTTAATAACGCCTAAAGTTTACGAAACAGATGCAGAATATGTAATGATAGAGAATTTAACGAAGCAAGGACTAACTACATTGGATAGAAAAGATGTTATTACTTTTGAATTCGCTAAATTGTCTATTCAAGCGCTTGCAAGATTTCATGCCTTCTCTTTCATTTTACAAGAGAGAAGTCCTGATTATTTTAAGAAAAAAATCATGACCTTAAAATTACCTATGTGTATTGAAACCTGGATTGGTTTTGCACGTAATATGTACAATTTTGCTGCTACGTGTCTGGAGAATGAAGTTAGAGAGAAAGTGGACAAATATATACCTACTTCCTATGAAAAGTATGCACGATATGCTGAAGATCCAAATATGACACGGTGTATGGTGCATGGTGATTTTAAACTAGTCAATATTATGTACAAGATGGAAGTTAGTATACAGACGTACATACTAGTAACATTGTATAAATATATATAGCGTTCCTGAAAAGAAATGCATGGAAAAATAGTTACGTTTATGAAACCTTTCAGTTTTTTTTTGATGGGTGAAAATGGTGTGGTAACCCCGCGTGCGCTAACGGGATACGCTGGCCGAGCACCAGTAAAGGGTGATAGATGAGAATGAAAACAGGCCAGTTAGCCCATCATGATGAATTCATCAGGAATTAACCATGATAGTTTCCAGGGAGAACCGCGAGGAGGTCGACCTGGTAGGGCATGGAGAAGTAATATTTCCGGAACTGGCATGTATGAATAAGATGAGTTATGAAAGTGGATGGATGAAGCAAGAAATGTATGTAAAGATAAAGGATTTTAACACTTAATTCACTGTGTTAACTCTCAATTTGGCATGATGATAGATAAATAGATTAAATAATATTTTAAATTCTACATTTATGTTAATCCAATAATAAGTTGCTAAAAGAGCAATAAGTGCATATTATGTTAATATTTGTTATTTATATATATTTATTCAATTATATATGTAATTTTATTATTACTAGTACCGCATTCGAGTATTCTGACACTTCCCTATGGTTGACTGGGAGAGAATGCTTTTAACATTAAGTCCGCCATGTACACATATTTGTACTAATGAATAAATAAAATAAATAAATAAAAGAGCAATGCCAGCCAATAGTACCACTACCAGTCCTTAATTTAAAAGTGATAAATACATTTTTTTTCCAGAACAATGCAATAACGGACCTCATTCCAGTAGACTTCCAAACCATACACTATGGATGTCCCATAATAGATTTTCTCTTCTTCATATTCACGGGATCTGATCAGAAATTCAGAAGGAACCACTTGGAAACATTAAAAGACGTTTACCATGACACTATGACAAATTATTTAAAATACTTCAATATAGACGTGAACAAATACTTGTCTAGGGCAGATTTCGAGAAGATGTACAGAGAAAAGCTTGATTATGGGTTGATGCTGACGGCCCACCTGATGGAAAGTGGTAACTGTCGCCTATAGACATGAGCAGTACCGTGGACATAACAGAGTATACTGTTTCGCCCATGATACCCCCCATGCGTTGCCATTCCTGAAGACTCAGGTGTTATTCCTCTGTACCCTGTAAATTCACGCCATATCCCACCCTTTAAACCGAAACACAGCCATGCAAACAACTGCTTCACGGTTGAAACACGAATGGGACAGAGGTACCCAAGCAATCGACTTTTGTACAAAGTCTCTCTCTGGTAAATTATTTTATTATTTATATAGTAAACTCATTTAATAAATACTTCTGAAATGATCAGAATTTTTGTAACTGATTCGAATGAAATTACCAACTAAGTAACAGATGTAGACTTTGTACAAAAGTCGTCTGAATGGGTACCTTTGTCCCAATTGTATTATTGTTGTGAAGCAGCTATGCAATGCATGATTGGTATTCAGTTTGAAAGCTGGGAGTGAAAATACAGGGACATATATCGAATAAAGATAAATTCCAATAAATAGTCATAACTTTTAAAGTTACACTACACACATGATATAGTACAATATCAAAAAATACATTAAAAGAAAGTAATTTCTAAGATACAACCAGTTTATCGTTGCTTTAGTGTATTTGTAAATAATGGAGTTCCACTGATAACGTTCATTTCTCTAAGGGAATGAATGATAAAGTGTATTCCAGTGTATTTGAGAACATTGCAATGTTTTCGGAATAGAGTAGCAGAATAATATAATAATAATAATAAAAAAAAAATAGTTCAATGAGACAGTCTTTACAGATCTCTTTTTCATATTGTATAAAAATTCTAGAAATACGAATTGTTTAAATTGAGACATTTGACTTGCTTTTGTGTACTCTTGAAAAACCTCGCGGTTGCATTTTAAATTGTATTGCAATGACAAAAAGCTAAAGTTTGCAGGGCTTTTTGTATGTTTTTTGCGGCTTCACGGATGTTTTGTGTGTCATGTGTGATATGCAAAACATGTCGTAGTTTTTTCCATCGAGCAATTGTGTCGAGTGTAAAAATTACTTTGTCTGATAATGGATATTGCTTGTTTTGTACGAAACCAGTTACCTGAAAAGAAGACAATAGATTAATTATTATTTTTTATGCATCTTAGCCATCATTACCATGTGGTTCTGGTATAAAGTAGACTACCTCTATTATACTAGTGTTGTTTTATATATATATATATATTTTTTTTTTTCGTTGCTTTTTTCATTTTTCATTCTTTTATCTGTTTTTACAGTGTATGTGTATGTCTGTATTATGTGTATGTTTGCATTGTTATTTGTGCCTCCAATCAAATTGTTTATAATTACTCCTGTCCATCCAATGGTTGCCTGGAAGAGATCGCTTTTAGCGATAAGGTCGCCCATTGTTTTCTTATTGTCATTATTTCTTCTAATTGCATTTCTAGTTGCATGCCAAGCTGGCTGAATGTCAAGGTTACACAAAATGTATAATATTATTACCTAAACTTACCACATTCATCGCAATATTTTTTTTTTAATTTAATTTAATTTCATTGTTTATATTTATTATAAGTTTACTATTGAAATCTTTTGGAGGAAACAATAAAGAATATATATATATATATATATATATATATATATATATATATATATATATATATATATATATATGCTTAAGTTTATATTTGGGCGCGCTCCGCGCGATTGAAGACACGTTAGATGGAGCCACAAGTAGTCAAACGGAGAATTGACGTGATCGAAAACAAGGTGTGGATTTTTAGGTTATGTTATAAAAATAAAATTAAAACTGATAAATAAAACATTATTATAATTAAAGAAGTGCTGTAGAATAAACTTTAAATGTCGTTTCTTTGTTTACAGGTGAGATATAACTTCATTGTTTTAATATGATTAGTGTTGTGTTATAATAATAAATAAAAACTTTCTTTGTTTACAGAGAAACAATTTCTATTTATTTTGAAAACCCTTAATTAATCGTTAATAATCTTATAAAACGACATTTGTTGTTACAAAAAAAAAAGAAGATGGACCGGTTGCAATTCGAATTTGCCGTAATAGCATCAAGTGATGGCAAATCTAATGTATTAGCCATAACCTCTATAACTACAGAGGAAGGAAAATGTTATGCATTACCAGAAGAGTTAAAACCGATAAATAACCACAAAGAAATTACAAAAATGAGTAATTATACAAAAATAAAAAATAGCTTAAAAAAAAGATATCAAACTAGGAAAATATGGATAAAATTAAATGAAGAACAAAAAATAACCTATATAGATGAAGAGGGAAACATACAATTTCTAGATCAGTATTTAGAGGAAATAACTATAGAACAACCAGCAGAAAAAGATAATAAGCTACAACAGATCCTGGAAAGATTAGTGGAATCCACAGAAAAAAAAGAAAATCAACTTAATTTAAAAAACATTTCGGAGAAATTTATTATAGAAAAATTCACAAGCAGGAACTCAAATGCGATGCAATGGATAGAAAATTTTGAGAAGGAATGTATACGATTTAATATAACAAAAGATGAAACAAAAATAGAGACATTAAGGTTATTTTTAGAAAAACCTTGTTTGGATTGTATAGCTCGATGGTCACAAAACTCACGGTAAATTCTGAATGGAAAGAATGGAAAGAAAAATTTTTGGAAACATTTAAAAATAGAGGATGGGATATGGTCATATGCTCTTGCATTCAGATATAAAGAAGGATTATTAATTGATTATGCGATGAAAAAAGAACGACTTATACTGGACATAAACAAATCGATAGACTCCACAACGTTGATGGATCTTATAGCAACAGGTCTACCCAGATTTATCTTGAATAAAATAAACAGGGACGAACTCAAAGACAGCACTGATCTGTTCAATGAAATTAGAAAATATGAAGATATGATGTACAAGACAACCTCAAAAATAATAAAAAACAGTAAATTTAATTTTAAAATGAAAACTAATGAAAAAAAATCATGCAAAACTTGTGAAAACTTGAATAAAGGAATTAGATATCATCCGAAGGAAGCATGTTGGTTTAAAACAAATAGTAATGAACAAGAGAAAATAAATAAAATTAAAAATGTAAATAATAACTCTATTATAGAAGTTGATTTGAACACAGATAAAAAAAACGAGTAAGTACACCATTAATCAAGATTAAAATGTTATTAGAAGACAGGTTAGAGGTAAGTGGCGTTTATGATTCTGGCTCACAGATCTCTTTAATAAATTCAAGACTAGTCAAAGTAAAAGAAGAAAAAGATAATGTAAATGCAGCATATATGAGAACGGTTAATGGTGTAAAGAAAACAGATGGTTTAATAACTATTAAGATAAGGATTTTTGAAATCGAAGAAGAGATGGATGTATACATAGTGGAAAACAAAGAATTTGATGATTTCATAATCGGATTAGATATGATAAAGAAATTTAAATTAATCCAAAATGAAAACTTGAAGATAGAACAAAAGAAAAAAACAGATATAAAGGAACCACAAAATAACGTTGAGAAAAACTCTAAGATAATAGAAATAAAGATAAAAAGATAGAAACATATTCAATAAATTTCAACGAACACATAAAAGTAGAAGATTTTAGGATTAAAATAGATCACTTAGACGACCAAAAGAAGACTGAAATAGAAAAAATTATAAAGGAATATAGAACTGTTTTTAAAAAAGATAAATATGATATTGGTACGGTTAAAGATTATGAAGCTCACATTGATTTATTGGTAGATAAATATTGTAGTAAAAGGCCATACAGATGTACAATAGAAGACAAAATAGAAATAGAAGAGCAGATATCGAGATTATTAAAGAATAATTTAATAGAAGATTCATATAGTCCTTTTGCAGCTCCGACATTGGCATTTAAAAAAGACGAAAATAAAAGATCAAGATTATGCATAGACTTTAGAGAATTAAACAAAATTATTGTACCACAAGCCCAACCTTTTCCATTAATAGATGATTTGATAATAAAGACAAGAAATTGCAAATACTTTACTACACTAGATATAAACTCAGCTTTTGTGTGTCAGGATTTGTAACACAAGATGGACACTTCCAATGGACCTGTCTACCCTTTGGGTTAAAAACATCACCCGCTATTTTCCAAAGAATTCTAAGTAATATTCTAAGAAAACACAATCTCACAGGTTATGCTGTTAATTATATTGATGATATTTTAATATACTCAACATCTTTTCAAGAACACATAATACACATAAGACATGTGTTAGAGGCAATAATAAAAGAAGGTTTTAGATTAAAATTTAAGATGTACATTTGCTTCAGTCGGTTAAATATCTTGGCCACATAATCCAAAATAATTCAGTAACACCGCTTAAAGACAATATAACTTCAATAAGAAAAACTCCAAAAACGCAGAAAAATATTAGACAATTTTTAGAAAAATAAATTTTTATCATGAATACATACCAAAAAGTAATTTTTTAGATCCATTACATAAATTGTTAAGGAAAAATGAGAAGTTTGTATGGACAGAAAAATGTGAAAATTCATTTAAACAAATAAAAGAGTATTTATGCTCTCAACCAATATTAGAAATATTTGACAAAGATTTACCAATAAAAATATATACAGATGCATCTTTAGAAGGTATTGGGGCAATATTAAAACAAACGCAACCAGATGGAAAAGATAAGCCAGTGGCATACTTTTCAAAAAAATTAAACGATGTTCAAAAAAGGAAAAAAGCCGTATATTTAGAGTGTTTAGTTTTATATATATATATATATTATATACTTTTTTATAAAAGTTAGAACAGATGAAGAATTAGGAGACTTTTTTTGTCTCATTTTTTACAATTAAGTACTTTTAGAAGCAGACTGTTTTACTAGAACCAGAAGATAACAAGGAAGAGATTTTAAAAATAGTAAATTTAATACAAATAGAAGAAATAATGACAGACCAAGAGAAAAATGAAGCAATAGGAAAAAATAAAGAGATTTTAATACACAAAAATAAAATTTATTATAAAAAAATAAAAAAGCAAGAGAAAAT